CCCAATCCCCCCAGCCCCACCCCCCACCTGTACCCACCCACCCCACGTATGTACGCCATTCCTTACACCCATCCTACCCACCCACCCACCCACCCCTCCCCCCCCCTCCCTATCCCTACCCCTTCCCCCCTTCCGCCACTGACTGTAGAATCTACCCCCACTCACGCCACACCTCACTCAGTCAGACCCATGAGCAAGCTAACGTGGCAGAGTGCGCACCTCGGCCCGCACTCGGACATTGTGTTCCACCCGACGGGAGAGGCTGTGGTGAGTGCTGGATCGGATGGCTTTGTGAGAGTCTTTGCTCCGCCTACGGCGGCGGCAGCGACCGTGGAGAAGGAGAGCAAGAACTCGGACATTACCGCCCTCGCCATGTCGCCGGATGGCAGTCTGGTAGCGACGGGTGCGACGGACAAAAAGGTCACCATCTGGTCGTGGCCGGAGATCAAGTTCCAGTCGTTTGCCGCGAGGTTCACGGCCTCCATCTCGGCCCTCGCCTTTTCTCCGTGTGGACTCTTCCTCGCCGTCGCTGCTGCCGAGTCGACGGTCAAGATCGTGCCGGTCGGCGACATGAGCTCGGCCAACTGCCTCCGCAACCACGCCGGGCCTGTCCGGGCCCTGGCGTGGTCACCCGACTCCAAGCTTCTGGCCACCGTCGCCGACGATGGCGCCGTCCAGGTGTGGGACGTCGAGGCCAAGAGTGTGGTGACGAGCATGGATCTGCTGCCGGCGACCAACTCGTCGTCGCATGGCTCGAAGGAGGAGCAGGCGGCGAGTCCGGCGACGCTCGGGCGCGGCGGCATCGCCTTTTCACCCGACGGGACCCTGCTTGCGGTCTCGGGCGAGTCCTCGCTCCGGCTCTACCACACGGCGACGTGGACGCTGGCCAAGACTTTGGACCGGGCACACAAGGACTCGCTGGTCTCGTTTGTTCGCTTCTCGCCCAACGGGTTGTACCTACTCTCGGCGTCATACTCACCAGCGGGCAACAGCACGTCGGTGGCGGTGTGGGATGTGAACCTCGGCGAGGCCATCGACGTCCGTGCCATCGAAAAGGGCAAGGCCGTCATCGGCGCCCAGTGGTCGCCTGTCGACGCCACCGTGGCGCTCATCAACGAGACCGGCGAGCGCACGCTGTGGCTCGACCCGGTGCCAAGCCATCTGCCGCATCCTGTGACCCGCCCGGGCTCAGGCGCGGGCAAGAGCGCGGCAGCCGCTCCTGCGGTAGCACCTGCCGCGATGGCTGACTCGGGCCTTGCAGACTTTTCCACCGTCTCGGACACCGCGGTCATTGCCCGCCCGGCCGAGATCAGCGCCGAGCTGGAGAAGAACACGGTGGCGGTCGGCTCGCGGCTCCGACGCAAGGTTGTGCTCGACGACTCGGAGTCTGGTGACGACGACGATGACGACGATGCCGCCGGGAGCGGCGACGGCGAGTCGGGTCGCTCGCTCCGCGACCGGGCTCCGGCGCAGACTTCGTCGGTCCTCTCCAAGCTGTTTGCCATGACCGAAGGCGGCGACTCGTCGTCGTCGGACGACGAGGACGAGGCACAGGCGCAAGCGGGCGCGGGCACTTTGGCCGGCGAAGCGTCTGGGAGGATGGCGATGGACGTGGTGCCGTCTTCGACGACGTCTGCCGTGGTCACGGTTCCGCACCAGGCGGCGATCCAGCCGGGCTCGACGCCCGAGGACGAGAAGCGGCGGTTCCTCTGCTACAACTTTACCGGGTGGATTGTGGCGCGGAACGAGGGGACGTACAACGACATCCAGATCGACTTTGCGGACACGACCAAGCACAAGCGGATCCGCGTGACGGACCACCACTTTTTCCGGTTGGGGACGCTCAACGAGCTCGGGGCATTCTTTGCGTCGCGCGCGGACGCTGCGGGCGACATTCCGGCGGTGCTCTCGTACCGGCCTTTTTCGTCGTGGACGACCGACTCGGAGTGGTTCGTGCAGCTGCCTGCGGGCGAGGACCCGGTGGCCATTGGCATCGGGCACAAGTGGGCGGCGGCGGCGACGTCTGCCAACCTGCTGCGGATTTTCTCGTACGCCGGGCTCCCGCTAGGCGTGCTTGCGCTGGCGGGTGCGCCGATTGCGGTGGCTGGGGCGGGTGACGCGCTGGCAGTGGTGTACGCGGCAGCGAGCGGGAGCCTGCGGTACACCGTGTACTCTGTGGAGACCGCAAGCGCGACCGATGGCGGTGACTTGCCGCTCTCGCCGGGCTCGACGCTGACCTGGATCGGGTTCTCTGACATTGGCGAGCTGGTGACGACCGACAGCGCGGGCGTGATCCGGGCGCGGACCTCGGCGTGGGGCTCGGCGTGGCTCCCGATTGGCTCGCTGGTGGTGGCTCCGGCGGCCGACGATGAGAGTGTGGGCAAGGGCAAGAGTAAGAGCAAGTCGCGGCGCCGGAAGCGCAAGTCTGTCTCGTTTGGCCCGGTAGCGGCAGACAGCCTGTGGATGGTGGGCATTCTCGAGTCTGCGGCGATGGTGGTGCGTTGCAAGGGCGCGGCCGAGTACCCGCCAACGCTCCCGCCGCCGCTTCTGGAGCGGCGTGAGCTCAAGATGCCGGTGGTGGCAGCGTCGGGCGCGGTCGGCCTCGAGTCTGCGCGGCTCCTCGCCGAGACGACGCTGGTTGCCGTCTCGGACCTGCTCGCCAGCCCACGGGCCGGGTACCTCGGATTGAGCGTGGTGGAGCTCGAGGCGCGGGCGGCGAACCGGACGGCGGACGTGGACAAGAACACGCTGCGGCTGTTCCGTCAGGAGCTGCTTGCCGGCCACCGGCTGCGGGCGCTGGATCTCTTCACCCGGCTCCGTGAGCGGACGGCAGCGAACATGGCACTCGCGCTGGCGCAGAAGCACAACATGCCTGCGCTCGCGGACCGGATGGCGGTGGCACTCACCACCAAGTTTGCGCCCAAGCCGGCGGCTGCTCCGCGGTTTGCGCCACAGCGGGCGACGTTCCAGAAGCCCAAGCCGGT